GGGCAAAGTCCGCGCTCGGCCGGGACGTGGCGACCTCGGCCGGTACCGGGCGGGATTTGGGGGCGATTTTTGGGGTCTCCCCCAAATTTTTTGGGGTTCCCCCGAATTTGGGGGATCCCCCCGAGGGGGAGGGACCCCCCCGAGGGGGAGGGACCCCCCCCAAATTGGTGTCACCCCAAATTTTGCCCCCCGCAGCCATGGCGGGGACTTTGGGTTCCGCGGTGCAGGCGCTGAGCGTGCTGCAGTGGATGCTGACCTTCCTGTTCCTCCTTCCCCCGCCCCCGGGGCAAAGTCCGCGCTCGGCCGGGACGTGGCGACCTCGGCCGGTACCGGGCGGGATTTGGGGGCGATTTTTGGGGTCTCCCCCAAATTTTTTGGGGTTCCCCCGTTCCCCTCCCCCCAACCCCTCCCCGCTCCTTCCCCCGCCCCCGGGGCAAAGTCCGCGCTCGGCCGGGACGTGGCGACCTCGGCCGGTACCGGGCGGGATTTGGGGGCGATTTTTGGGGTCTCCCCCAAATTTTTTGGGGTTCCCCCGAATTTGGGGGATCCCCCCGAGGGGGAGGGACCCCCCCGAGGGGGAGGGACCCCCCCCAAATTGGTGTCACCCCAAATTTTGCCCCCCGCAGCCATGGCGGGGACTTTGGGTTCCGCGGTGCAGGCGCTGAGCGTGCTGCAGTGGATGCTGACCTTCCTGTTCCTCGGTAATTAGCGCGGGTTAATTAGGGTTAATTAAGGGTTTGGAGGATTAGTTCAGGCTGTGAGGGGGGGGGTTTAAGCCCTAGAGGGTTAATTAATGGGGGGTTAATTAATTAGAAGGGTTAATGAATGAGGAAAGAGGGCGTGGATGGGGTTAAAGGTGGAGAGGGCAATTAACGGGGTTAATTAAGGTTGAGGGAATAATTAACCACTGCGGGGGGTAATTAACCCTTTGCAGAGGGGGTTTAAGCCTTAGAAGTTTAATTAATGGGGGATTAATTACTTAGAAGGGTTAATGAATGAGGAAAGAGGGTGTGGATGGGGTTAAAGGTAGACAGGGCAATTAGCGGTGGTAATTAACGGGGTTAATTAAGGCTGAGGGGGTAATTAACCCCTGGGAGGGATAATTAACTCTTTGTAGAGGGGGTTTAAGCCCTGGAGGGGTAATTAATTGGGGGGATTAATTAATTAGAAGCGTTAATTAATTAGGGAGGGGGGAGTTGATGGGGTTAAAGGTAGAGGGGACAATTAGCGGTGGTAATTAACGGGGTTAATTAAGGCTGAGGGGGTAATTAACCCCTGGGAGGGATAATTAACCCTTTGGAGAGGGGATTTAAGCCCTGGAGGAGTAATTAATGAGGAGCAGTTAATTACCGGGGGGGTTAATTAATTAATTAATGTCGAGTTGCTTGATGGGGTTAAAAGCTGAGGGGGCAATTAACGGGGGGTAATTAATCCTGGAGAGGTTAATTAACCCCGAGTGGGGCAATTAATGAGAGTAATTAATTAATTAACGGGGAATTAATTAATCCGAGCAGGCTAATTAATGGAGAGGGGAGCAAATTAACCCTTAGAAGGGAGAGAGCGCGCAATTAACGGGGCTTAATTAACCTCGAATGAGGGCAATTCACGGGGGAGGGGAGAATAATTAATTAATCAATCCGTGGGGAATGAATTAATTAATTAACACGCGCAGGCCTCAATGAACCCTTAGAGGGGAAGCTTGCAATTAACAGAGCGGCGGTTAACGAGGGTTAATTAACGCCGGGAGGCGGGGGAATGGCGGGAAGGGGGGTGGTTTATGCTAATGAATGGTAATTAAGGTGATGAATATGCTAATGAGGGCCGGGCGCGGTGCTGGCGCTGCTGCTGCTGCTGAGGACGCGGCTCTGGATCGTCACCGTCACCTACGCGGGGTGGTGGCTCTGGGACTGGCACGGGCCCCAGCGCGGTGCGGGGACACCGGGGACACCGGGGACACCGGGGACACCGGGGACACCGGGGACACCGGGGACACCGGGGACACCGGGGACACCGGGGACACCGGGGACACCGGGGACACCGGGGACACCGGGGACACCGGGGACAACGGGGACAGTGGGGACAGCTGGGGACATTTATGGGATTTGGGGATATTTGGGGCATTGGGGACATGGGGGACATTGGGGACAGTGGGGACATTGGGGACACTGGGGACAACGGGGACATCACTGGGGACATCGATGGGGACACTTGGGGACAGCGGGGACAATTGGGGACATCGGGGACATTTATGGGATTTGGGGACATTTGGGGCAATGGGGACACTGGGGACAACGGGGACATCACTGGGGACATCGATGGGGACACTTGGGGACAGCGGGGACAATTGGGGACATCGGGGACATTTATGGGATTTGGGGACATTTGGGGCAATGGGGACACTGGGGACAACGGGGACATCACTGGGGACATCGATGGGGACACTTGGGGACAGCGGGGACAATTGGGGACATCGGGGACATTTATGGGATTTGGGGACATTTGGGGCAATGGGGACACTGGGGACAACGGGGACATCACTGGGGACATCGATGGGGACACTTGGGGACAGCGGGGACAATTGGGGACATCGGGGACATTTATGGGATTTGGGGACATTTGGGGCAATGGGGACACTGGGGACAACGGGGACATCACTGGGGACATCGATGGGGACACTTGGGGACAGCGGGGACAATTGGGGACATCGGGGACATTTATGGGATTTGGGGACATTTGGGGCAATGGGGACACTGGGGACAACGGGGACATCACTGGGGACATCGATGGGGACACTTGGGGACAGCGGGGACAATTGGGGACATCGGGGACATTTATGGGATTTGGGGACATTTGGGGCAATGGGGACACTGGGGACAACGGGGACATCACTGGGGACATCGATGGGGACACTTGGGGACAGCGGGGACAATTGGGGACATCGGGGACATTTATGGGATTTGGGGACATTTGGGGCAATGGGGACACTGGGGACAACGGGGACATCACTGGGGACATCGATGGGGACACTTGGGGACAGCGGGGACAATTGGGGACATCGGGGACATTTATGGGATTTGGGGACATTTGGGGCAATGGGGACACTGGGGACAACGGGGACATCACTGGGGACATCGATGGGGACACTTGGGGACAGCGGGGACAATTGGGGACATCGGGGACATTTATGGGATTTGGGGACATTTGGGGCAATGGGGACACTGGGGACAACGGGGACATCACTGGGGACATCGATGGGGACACTTGGGGACAGCGGGGACAATTGGGGACATCGGGGACATTTATGGGATTTGGGGACATTTGGGGCAATGGGGACACTGGGGACAACGGGGACATCACTGGGGACATCGATGGGGACACTTGGGGACAGCGGGGACAATTGGGGACATCGGGGACATTTATGGGATTTGGGGACATTTGGGGCAATGGGGACACTGGGGACAACGGGGACATCACTGGGGACATCGATGGGGACACTTGGGGACAGCGGGGACAATTGGGGACATCGGGGACATTTATGGGATTTGGGGACATTTGGGGCAATGGGGACACTGGGGACAACGGGGACATCACTGGGGACATCGATGGGGACACTTGGGGACAGCGGGGACAATTGGGGACATCGGGGACATTTATGGGATTTGGGGACATTTGGGGCAATGGGGACACTGGGGACAACGGGGACATCACTGGGGACATCGATGGGGACACTTGGGGACAGCGGGGACAATTGGGGACATCGGGGACATTTATGGGATTTGGGGACATTTGGGGCAATGGGGACACTGGGGACAACGGGGACATCACTGGGGACATCGATGGGGACACTTGGGGACAGCGGGGACAATTGGGGACATCGGGGACATTTATGGGATTTGGGGACATTTGGGGCAATGGGGACACTGGGGACAACGGGGACATCACTGGGGACATCGATGGGGACACTTGGGGACAGCGGGGACAATTGGGGACATCGGGGACATTTATGGGATTTGGGGACATTTGGGGCAATGGGGACACTGGGGACAACGGGGACATCACTGGGGACATCGATGGGGACACTTGGGGACAGCGGGGACAATTGGGGACATCGGGGACATTTATGGGATTTGGGGACATTTGGGGCAATGGGGACACTGGGGACAACGGGGACATCACTGGGGACATCGATGGGGACACTTGGGGACAGCGGGGACAATTGGGGACATCGGGGACATTTATGGGATTTGGGGACATTTGGGGCAATGGGGACACTGGGGACAACGGGGACATCACTGGGGACATCGATGGGGACACTTGGGGACAGCGGGGACAATTGGGGACATCGGGGACATTTATGGGATTTGGGGACATTTGGGGCAATGGGGACACTGGGGACAACGGGGACATCACTGGGGACATCGATGGGGACACTTGGGGACAGCGGGGACAATTGGGGACATCGGGGACATTTATGGGATTTGGGGACATTTGGGGCAATGGGGACACTGGGGACAACGGGGACATCACTGGGGACATCGATGGGGACACTTGGGGACAGCGGGGACAATTGGGGACATCGGGGACATTTATGGGATTTGGGGACATTTGGGGCAATGGGGACACTGGGGACAACGGGGACATCACTGGGGACATCGATGGGGACACTTGGGGACAGCGGGGACAATTGGGGACATCGGGGACATTTATGGGATTTGGGGACATTTGGGGCAATGGGGACACTGGGGACAACGGGGACATCACTGGGGACATCGATGGGGACACTTGGGGACAGCGGGGACAATTGGGGACATCGGGGACATTTATGGGATTTGGGGACATTTGGGGCAATGGGGACACTGGGGACAACGGGGACATCACTGGGGACATCGATGGGGACACTTGGGGACAGCGGGGACAATTGGGGACATCGGGGACATTTATGGGATTTGGGGATATTTGGGGCATTGGGGACATGGGGGACATTGGGGACAGTGGGGACATTGGGGACACTGGGAACATCATTGGGGACACCAGGACAACGGGGACATCGATGGGGACATCACTGGGGACATCGATGGGGACACTTGGGGACAGTGGGGACAATTGGGGACATCGGGGACATTTATGGGATTTGGGGACATTTGGGGCAATGGGGACACTGGGGACAACGGGGACATCACTGGGGACATCACTGGGGACATTGGGGACATTGATGGGGCACTTGGGGACATTGGGAACATTTGGGGGATTGGGGACAACTGGGACAGTGGGGACACTTGGGGACATTGATGGGGACAGTGGGGACACTTGGGGACATTGATGGGGACAGTGGGGACACTTGGGGACATTGATGGGGACAGTGGGGACACTTGGGGACATTGATGGGGACAGTGGGGACACTTGGGGACATTGATGGGGACAGTGGGGACACTTGGGGACATTGGGGCACTGGGGACACTTGGGGACATTGATGGGGACAGTGGGGACACTGGGGGATTGGGGACATTCGGGACAGTGGGGACATTTATGGGATTTTGGGGATTTGGGCACATTGAGGGCATTGGGGACACTGGGGGGGTTGGGGACATTGATGGGGACATTGGGGACATTGGGGACATCGGGAACACTGTGGACGTCGAGGACATTTATGGGATTTGGGGACACTGGGGACAGTGGGGACATCATTGGGGACATTGCAGACACCAGGACACTGGGGACATCGATGGGGGGATTGGGGACATTGGGGACATCGGGAACACTGTGGACGTATCCCCTCAGTGTCCCCGGTGTCCCCAATGTCCCTGATGTCCCCGATGTCCCCGATGTCCCCATCGATGTCCCCGCTGTCCCCAGGGCCCCGGCACTGGGACTGGCTGCGGAACTGGCGCGTCTGGGACCATTTCTGTGACTACTTCCCCATCACGGTAACGGCGTCACTCATGTCACCAAATGTCACCCATGTCACCCATGTCACACATGTCACCCATGTCACCAAATGTCACCAAATGTCCTCAATATCTCCCAATCCCCCAGTGTCCCCAGTGTCCCCAAATCCCATAAATGTCCCCAAATCCCGTAAATGTCCCCAATGTCCCCAAATCCCATAAATGTCCACAATGTCCCCAAATCCCCAAAATCCGCCAAGTGTACCCAAATCCCATAAACGTCCCCAAATCCCATAAATGTCCCCGA